AACCTTTAAAGGAAACTCTGAACCCTAAACCCTAAACCCTAAACCCTAAACCCTGAACCTTTAAAGGAAACTCTGAACCCTAAACCCTAAACCCTAAACCCTAAACCCTAAACCTTTAAAGGAAACTCTGAACCGTAAACCCTAAACCCTAAACCCTAAACCCTAAACCCTAAACCCTAAACCCTGAACCTTTAAAGGAAACTCTGAACCCTAAACCCTAAACCCTAAACCCTGAACCTTTAAAGGAAACCCTAAACCTTTATGCCCAGGAGCCCCGAAACCTGGAACCCTGAACCCTAAACCTGAAACCCGTTTTAGGGTTTATGGTTTAAGGTTTAGGGGCCCTAAACCCTGAACCTGAAACCCTGAATCTGAACCCTGAACCCTAAACTTTAAACCCTAAACCTGAACCCTGAACCTTGAACCCTAAACCTTGAACCCTAAACCTTGAACCTGAACCCCTAAACCTCAAACCCTGAATCTGAACCCTGAGCCCTAAACCTTAAACCCTAAACCCTAGACCCTGAACCTGAAAATGTAGGGCTTAGGGTTTAGGGTTTGAATCTGAACCCTGAACCCTAAACCTTAAACCCTAAACCTGAACCTTAAACCCTGAACCCTAAACCCTAAACCCTAAACCCTAAACGCTAAACCCTAAACCCTGATCCCTAAACCCTAAAACCCAAAAAACCGTTCTGAATACTAAGCTCTTCAAGCTCCGCCTTCATGGTCGTCGGTTCGTGGACTTCGTACGGAGGCCTCGGAACCATGGCCTTTGGGTTTCCCTGGAAACCTTAACCAAGGGATTTAGAGTTTAGGGCTTAGGGTTTAGGGTGTTTAGAGTTTATGGTTTAGGGTATAGGGTTTAGGGGTTTAGGGTTTAGGGTTTAGGGGTTTAGGGTTTGGGGTTAAGGGCCCTTGGCCGCAAACCTCAAGGGACTAAAGGAGGGACCCTTAAAGGGACCCTTGGGGTTACATAGGGGCTTTATAAGACTATACAAGGGGTATATAAGGGTTATATAGGGTATTAGGATTAGGGGTCCCTTCTAGGGGTCCCTCCTATTGTCCCGTAACTTAACCCCAAGCCAGCTCACGTGCAGGAGCGGCGACAGAAAGGTGGCAGCATACTGCGAGGGAGGAAAAGCAGTGAAAGGCAGACCAGGTACATTCTGGGCCACCACAAGATCGCATCAGTCCCGGACCATTCTCAAGCCTCAGACACCCTACAGCCTTAAGCCCAAACCCACAAACTCAACCCTGTTGACCTTTAGAAACCCATGTGCCCTACCAGCCGTTCTTAAGGCCCGAGGGAGCTCAGGGTATAGGTTTCGAGTTTAGGGTTTAGGGTCTAGGTTTTAGGGTTTAGGGTTCCCGGTACAGGATCGACTATGCTGTGTCTTGTTATGCTATTTTGGGCTGTGTCATGTTAAGTTATGCTGCGCTAGGATATGCTATGTTGCCTTTTGCCATGTTATGTCATGCTATGCCATGCTACGCGGCACTATGCGATCCGATGCTATGCTATGCTACTCTGACCGTGCCATGTTATTCTACGTCATGCCATGCTAGGTTATGATATGCTCTGTGTCGATTTGAAATCAGTATACCATGCTTGGTCAGAAGATGCTGCAGTTTGCGTTATGCCAGTGAGTGTGTTTGCCATGATGTGTTTTCGTGTTGTCGTGTCGCTGTAACTAAAAAAGACCGACAGATAAATCGACAGGCATTGTGGTGGTGGTGGTGGTGGTGGTGGTGGTGGTGGTTGTGGTGGTGACCATGACCGTGAGTTTAGGGCTGCGAGGTTTTGGCAAGGGTTTGCCTTGTCCCAGACCGACACAGCTCCTAATCTTGCTTCTTTCGAGTTCTTGCCTAGCTGAAGCAGTGTTTAGGGCTTAGGGTTCAACGTTTAGCGGCCCTGCAGCAATCTAGTGGGTCCCTCCATGAAACCCGCATACATATCAACCCTGAAACTTCCAAGGTTTTTGGGTTTTCATTTTGCCGGATGTTCGGGTTTAGGATCCATTGAACTTGTGTTGCACTTTTAAAATTTAAACCCTGCATCCCGAAAGCACTGAAGAACTTTCATCGCGCGCTATAAACGTTCTGGAGCCCTTACAGAAGCCCTCTAGAAGGCTTACAGAGCCTTGGCTAAGATGTCTAGCAACCCCAATGCCCAGAAGCCAGGATTTAAGGTTGAGGGTTTAGGGATTAGGTTTCCAGATGGGGTTGGGGCCATCTTTCGCTTTCTGTTTTTGCGGCTCAACCAAGCTGTTGTGAACGAACTTAGGGCATGTAAGGTGCATGGGCCCCAAACCCTAAACCCTAAACCCTAAACCCTAAACCCTAAACCCTAAACCCTAAACGGTTTGGGTTTCAGAGTATGGCTCGGTCAATGCTCCAGAAATCTAAGCTCAGACCCTCGCCAAAAGCCTACCGCAAACCCTCGAAATCCTAAGTACTAAGCCTACGAAGCCCTCACCCCAACCCAAAAACTCAACACTCCCAACCTCAACCATGGAGCCCTAACCATCCCCATACCCGGAACCCGACATTTCACTTCATTTCTCGGCAAGCTGGCGGAAAGCTCACATGTCAGCCTTGCGTTCTGCTCTGCTTCATGCCGCCGCCTCAGCCATGTGGGTGTTCTCTAAATTAGGGTCCCTTTTGGGTTCCCGGATGATACAAGGGTGCCGTACTATTTTGACTATTTTGGGAAACCAAAAAACGGACCCTAAACCCTAAACCCTAAACCCTAAACCCTAGACCCTAATTTAGAGAACTGCCCATGTTCTGACAAGCACCGAAATGCCTCGACGGTTTGACTACGCCCCTCCCCAAATTTTACAACTAGGTCGCCAACCAGACAAACAATCCAACACACACACATGGGTAGTTGTCAAAATTATGGTCCCTTTTGGGGTACCCTAAATAATAGGTGCCGTAGTATAATAAGGACCCAAAAAGGGGACCATAATTTTGACAACCACCCATATAACTATATAATGTATGTATATAATATAACTTCTTATAATATAACGTAGATATATAAAATAGATATCAATTCGAATATAGCTGCTAATGTTACTATCGTTGTAAGTATGAGCGCGAGTGACACGTATACACATGAGTAGCAGCACCAGTACAGTTAGAGACATAGATGAACGTTTTGGTATAAGCGTAGGTATAGGTCCTATATAGGTATGGGTATAATTTTCTACACACATGGATATAGATACGGTTCTATGTACAAGCATAACTACAAACAGGAAAATAAATGAGAAGATCAGTGCAAAGCAGTGTAAGTATAAGTACAAGTACAAATAGACAAACAGTTAGATAGACAAAATCAGCACATACATGTGTGTATATACGCACATACTAGGAACGCATTACACAGACAACTGAAATTTGAGTAAACACGCAAAAACGCAACTCAATACATCCACAAGAATATGATGCGGCATTTCTCCCTGTAAGCTCTGGCCATTTCAAGTCTTCCTAAACCCTAAACCCTAAACCCGAAACCCTAAACCCTAAACCCTAAACCCCAAATCCTAAACCTAGCCGTCCGGACCAGCCCTGGGTCCAAGATCCATGATTCCTGGCATTATTTGCCGGAAGATCTTGGATCCAGCTGCCCCAACCCCTTCCCTAAGCACCAAAACCTCTGAACCCATAACTCCCCCTAATGCCCCATAAGCCCTAAACCCCTGAGGCCCTGAACGCCATGCCCCAAACCCTGAAAGCCAAACCCTAACCCTAAACCCTAAACCCTAAACCCCCAGCACAAACACCCTAAACCCTAAACCCGAAACACCAAAACCCCAACCAAAAACACAAATTTAAGTTTTTCTAGACCCTCTGAGGTCGGCCTGGCCCTGATCGCCTTTGGGCAGGCTAAAGGGTGAGAGCGGTTTCAGGGTTTAGGGTTCTTTAAGGGCTCTTTAAGGGATCTTTAACGGCTCTTTAAGGGATCTATAGAGGTTTTTCAGGGCTTCGTAATACGGGTTTAGGGGTTCAGGGTTTGGAGTTTAGGGTCTTGGGTATGGGGTCTTAGAGTTTGGGGGTAATTCAGGTTTCGGTTTTTAGGGTATAGGGTTTCTATGCAGCAAAGAAACCACACCCCTTTCTTTATTGCTGTATAGACTGTATAGATAAAGGTTCAGGGTTTCGGAAGTTTAGGATGCACCTGTGGCCCAAAAGACCTACCTTCTTTAAGCACTATATGTAGGAACCATAATAAGAAACCCCAAAAAGGTACGGCTTAGGTTTAGGGTTTAGGCTTTGGGGTTTAGGCTTTAGGGTTACTTAAAGGATCATGGGACTTAGTAAGTAGGGTTATAATTAAGGTAACTGTACTTATATTTACTTATAACCCCAATTTAGGGACTTATAACCTTACTTACTAAGTGCCATGATCCTCCAAGTAGGGTGTAGG